GGGCTGAAGTTCTAAGACTATTCTGCACAGGCATGACTGTCTTTCATATTTTTTTATGGATCACGTGCAAATTTGGGAGAGTTCTATGTGTTGCACACAGTGGATTTTTAGTCCTGGATGTCTAAACTTTTCAATTGGTCATTTTATTTTCTCCATGCCCCAGCACAATGCCTAGCCAGGTGGGAGGGCTGTTGGCAAGCTACTCTCTGATCAGTGGTCCTCCTGCTATTCTGCAAACCAAACTCAGAAACTTTGGTTGCTTTGATTCTCATGTTAACCTTGTGGGTATAAGGCAGGGTTTCACTCTAACCCAGGGAAATTTAACTCTTTTGTCCTCGGTTTCATTATGCCTTAATAATAAATCTAAACTAGCCAAGAGTAATAACAAGTCTAAAGCCTCCCTAAAAAGGCTTTAAAACGTCTCAGAAGAATCAAACTGGACTTCCAGTTTAACTGGCTGCCAGAAATAAAGTGTAAAACTCTTTGCTAAAAGAAAATTTGAGCACTCAACCACACAGAAATGACAATATCCAGCATCTAATCAAAAACTATTATACATGCTAAGAAGCAGAAAAATTACAATAACCAGGAGAAAAATCAATCAATAAAAACAGACTTTTATATTACTGAGAATTTTAAAAATACATGATGTGAAGAGCAGGCAGTCTTCTTTTAGTTAGAATCATAACATCTTGCTCTAATAGCCTGACTATTCATACAAACTTTTTACAGTTAAAAATGCACTACTCTTAGATTGCTTATATAAATAGAAACAAAAAAACGGTCATCTATGCAAAAATTCTCACCAAAGAAAGGCATTCCTTGGCCATTTTATTTTACTTATTTTTTGATGTTTCCTTTTTTTTCTTTTTTTTTGGTTGAGGAAGATTGGCCCTGAGCTAACATCGGTTGCCAATCTTCCTCTTTTTGCTTGAGGAAGATTGTTGCTGAGCTAACATCTGTGCAAGTCGTCCTCTATGTATGTGGGATGCCACCACAGTGTGGCTTGATGAGCAGTGTGTAGGTCCACACCCAGGACCTGAATCTGCGGACCCCAGGCCACCAAAGCAAAGCACGGGAACTTAACCACTACCCCACTGGGCTGGCCCCCTTTGGCCATTTTAAATAAACACAAAGCAATAGCTCAGTAAATATGAGTGTAGGCTACTTTACAAAATCCCAGAGATAGTGAATCATCAAGTGATATAGGATCTTGTAGGGCTTAGTATGAGCTTTGTCTTTTATTCTGAATTAGAGAGGAAGCCGTTGGAGGATTTTGCCCAATTTTTGCACTACTTCTATTACATTATAGTATTACACTACTATTAAAATAGGTCTATTTTAATTTCTTTATATATTTAAAACTTCAGGGATTGGCCCAACTTCAGGGATTGGCTGAACCCTAGGGCTTGATCCAACTCCAGGGACACCTTGACTCAGACACTCAACCGACATTGTTAGGAACTGATCTTTCTTGGACCTCTCAGGTCTGCTCTTCTCTGTGAGCATTTGTCTCTGATAAGATTCATACAGTAGCATGAAGGCTGCTAGTAGCAGCAGACTTATTCTCACAGCTCAACATCCTCACAAGCCCAACAGGTAAGAGAAAAGAGGGAGACTCTCTTTCCTGGTCAGTGAAGCAAAAATGCTGGGATTAGCTTTGATTGGAAATGTCAGTCATTCCTGTAATTGATTTTATTTAGTCACAAGGCTAAATGACACAAGAACCAGTCACTCTAGGTGAGTTGGTGTAATTCTGCCATTGCCTAGATCTAGGATAAGTTGGGGGTAGAGTCAGCATAAATTGGGAGTAAGGGAATGGTGGTTCCTTAGAGGAAATTCAGGCCATGATTATCAGAAAAAATGGGAATAAATGCTATGTACCAACAGCTGTAAAATATAAATGAAATATTGGAGAAACAAATAACAAGTGAGGAAGGGAAAATGGGCAAAGGACCTGACTAGACATTTCTACAAAGAAGAAGAAAAATGGCCAACAGATATATCAAAAAGTGCTCAACACCACTAATCATCAGTGATATGCAAAGAAAAACTAGACGGAAATATCATCTCATACCTTCTAGAGTGGCTATTATCAAAAAGGCAAGAGAAGGGGCTAGTTCCAGGGTGTGGTGTTTATGCTTGCATGCTCCGCTTCAGTGGCCTGGGTTCACGGGTTCAGATCCTGGGTGCGGGCCTACACCACTCATCAGCCATGCTGTGGTGGTGACCCACATACAAAGTCGAGGAAGATTGGCACAGCTGTTATTTCAAGGCTAATCTTTCTCAAGTAAACAAAAAAAAGAGAGAAAGTTTGGCAACAGATGTTAGCTCAGGGTGAATCTTCCTCAAAAAAATAAAAAACCAGGGGCCAGCCCCAGGGCTTAGCGGTTAAGTGCGCGCGCTCCGCTACTGGCAACCCGGGTTCGGATCCCGGGCACGCACCGATGCAGTGCTTCTCCAGCCTTGCTGAGGCCGTGTCCCACATACAGCAACTAGAAGGATGTGCAACTATGACATACAACTATCTACTGGGGCTTTGGGGAGAAAAAGGAGGACGATTGGCAATAGATGTTAGCTCAGGGCTGGTCTTCCTCAGCAAAAAAAAGAGGAGGATTAGCATGGATGTTAGCTCAGGGCTGATTTTCCTCACAAAAAAATAGATAAATAAAAAAATAAAAAACCAGACAAGAGATACTAAGTGTTGATGAAGATGTGAAGAAAATAGAACATTTGTACACTGTTGTTGGCAATGTAAGTTGATACAGCCATTACGGAAAAAAGGATGCACATTTCTCAAAGTTAAAAATAGAATTGCCGTAGGATCCAGCAGTCCCACTTCTGGGTATATATTCACAGGAAATGAAATCCCTATCTTGAAGAGATATCTACATTCTCGTGTTCATTGTAGCATTATTCACAACAGCGGAGATATGAAATCAACCTAAGTGACTGTCAACTGCTGAATGCCTAAGAAAATGTTATATATATATGTATAACTTATATGAGTATATATATAAATACACATAAATATTTTTTGCCTTAAAAATGAAGGAATTCCTGCCATTCACAACAACATGGTTGAAACTGGAGGACAGTATGCTAAGTGAAATAAGCCAGAGACAGAAAGACAAACACTCTATGATCTCACTTAAATGTGGAATCTAAAAAGGTCATACTCATAAAGGCAGAGAAGAGAATGGTGGTTGCAGGGGCTAGGGGGTGAGGGAAATGGGGAGATGTTGTTCAAAGGGTACGAAGTTTCAGGTGAGTCGATTGAATAACTTCTGGAGATCTAATGTACAGCATGGTGACTATAGTTAATAATACTGTATTTATACTTGAAATTTGCTAAGAGAGTACCTGAAGTGTTCTCACCAACACAAATAAAAGCCAACTATGTAAGGTGATGGATATGTGGTAACCATTTCACAATGTATACATAGATCCAAACACCACTTTGTACACTGTAAATATATACATTTTCTCTTGGTCTATTATAACTCAACAAAGCTGGAGAAAAAATTGAAATGTAAAAAAAATTCTGTAAATACAATGATCATTTTTCTCCTATCAATATGAAACTATCACTTCCTCAGAAAGAATTTTCCTGGTTACTCTTTCTAGTGCCCCACACTTCCCCACCACTACCACCAGCCATTCTCTAGCCCATTAACTTACATATAGTTTCCGTATAGCTTCTAACAACATATGAAAAAATTTTTGTTGATTACTTATATGTTCAGTTATGTCCTGCTCTATAAGTTTAACCTACAAGAGAGGAAGGACATCATCTCTCTTGTTCACCACTACATTCTCCTATGCTAAAACAGGACCTGCCCATCATAGGCACTTTATCAATACGTGTTCAATAAAAGGATGATGAATTGATATATATATACACAAATACATAGACATGTACATATATGCATGTATGTGTATAAATTAAAACTCTTAAGGCTCACTATGTGCCAATCAGTAGTAGTTGCTCTACCTATATTGTATCAAGTAATTATCACAGGTCTATGAGCCAAATGATATTATCATTATTTTACTGAAGAGAAATATTAAGTACAGAGAAATTTTGTGGCATGTCCATGGTCACCCAGGTAAAAATCGAGAGAAATGGAACTTTTGAGATGACAACCCACCGTTGCCTGATTAAAAAGCCCACATTCCTCACCACCAGACTATATTTCCTGATATCAACACTTAGTCTCTTTCCACCATATCATATCTGAATTGGAAGTAGACAGTACACGAACTTATTGTTTCTAATTTTATTTAATTTATTTTTGCTCTGTAATAAATCAAATGTATTTAATGAACATTCAGTTAATACCATATGTTGCTCAATAACATATATAGCACTGGATACAAATTTGATGAGGATATAACCCTGCCCTGTAGGAGAGAGAATGAGAGAGAGGGAAGAAGAGGAAGGTGAAGAAAGAGAGAGAGAAAATACAAATTGAATCTGATCCATGATGTGATTTTTGCTCTATGTGTATAACACTAAATAATGGTTTGTGCACATACAAGGACTGACTGTGCTATTTGAAGGTATTCTCTATGGGAGAGAGAAAGCAGGAAAAGGAAAGAGAGGGAAAAACCATGCATCTTAACTTTCTGAAGGTAAAAAATAACCTTGCGTTCTCAAAGGCAGGAAAAGAAATTCAAACAAGTGGGAGGAGTATTGGCCAAGAAAGCAGAAATATGTAGTCTGCATGGAGGCCTCATATCACCAATATCTTTTTGCCCTTCTTCTGCCAAATCTTATTTACCACCTTCATTTCCTTCTCTAAAAGTCTGGAGGCTGGATGAAAACCTTTCAAGTGCTATTCACTCATTAAATGCATGATATATTTATTTAACTTCTGCCATAGTTGATAAAGAGTCAGTGAAATGAGTTGTTGAGTTCTTGGGGGATAATGAGAACACAGTTCTGAATTTTATATTTATATATTAAAATCAGAGTTGGGTTCTGGTACTTTCCCTGGTGGGGTTCTTGCATAAATGTCAAGATAGGATTCCTGGAACATTTTGCTGTTGATATTCTGGTATCATCAAATCTCCTGTAATTAGTGCAGGAAATGCTGGTCCTGCCATGTGAGGATATGCTGGCTGAATGAACACAACCTGTGGAATCAATCAGAATGCTGTAAGTGAGCTAAGCAAGTAACCTTGGGGTTTCCCTTTCCTGTGCACATAATATCATCACCATCAAAGTCTACTCTTTCTTCTCTGAATTCACTCTCAACATCAATTTGGCAGGGTTTCTCAGGCATTCTTTAGATCAGGCTAGATCTAGGAAAAACACTGAGAGATAGCTCTGGCATGAGATGCTGATAACTGTTACTGTGGTCTTGCAAGTGGATCGATCTTACACGTGGATGATGGTGCCCAACAAGTTTAAACCAAGATGTCATGGAAAATAGAGAGCTCTTCTTCCAAACCAGGTTGTTCATGCTGATGGGAACAGCATACCCAAATCATTGCTTTGCTGGCCATGACTAAAGCATTGCAAAAACCACACTGACCCAGCGTGGCAGGAATCATAGGAAACTAAGGAAAATGCTGACCCTTCTTCCACAAACTCAATGTGAAATGGAGGAGGGGGGTGATCCAGGAAGAGATAAAGAAGTAGGCATTATATGCCCCAAAGCCATTACTTTTCTTGATTCACAATTTCAGCTGTGTAACCAGTGCAATTAAGCGGAGCAATATTTCCAGGTTCTGTAACCACTCTAGGGGCGGAAGGGAACACAGGCCTAGATATTTTGACATCAACGTAACTAAAGAGTTTGATCCCTTGTTCAAATGTTTCACTTAATGAAATTACAAAATCACTGGGAATGGCTGAGAAACTCTAGCTTCTAGGGTCTTATAATGGAAGAGTCCACTAGTATAGTTAACGTGATTTAGTCAATCTCCCTCTATGGGGAAGGGCTGTGGGGATGACGGATGTGGTGTAGCATGGGACCCCCAAAAGAAAGTAAAGAGGCACAAAATGGAAGAGAAGAGCACCAGAATAATACCTCATCAAACTCCTATTATTTTATGATTTAGTTTTGGTGTTTGACTGCCCCTGGCCTTTGGATAATGAAACTTACAAGCATCTCTTGGGCTTTTAATATCCATTTTCTCACCCCGGAACCTTCAATTTTCTTGGAAGATATCCTTGTTCTATTCTTCCTAGTGCCCCTTGGTCTCTTCTCTCCTCTCATTTCCCAGTCCTCTACGTGTGACATTCTTTCTACTCTGCAGGCAGGAGGATCTGCTGCAGCTCTCATGGTAAGAGAATAGGCATGTGTGGGCACATTGATAGAGACGTATGAAACCCTGACTTTCTTCAGCAGCCCAGGGAAGGCTGCAATAATAGGATGATGGAGTAACGTCTGGCACAGTCTGGGGACCTCTCCATTGTGAAGTATTCTGATCTGGACTAAGACAGGAGACCCTTTGAGGGAGAAAGAATGAAGGAAAATAGCCTTACTTTTTCCACTGCCGAAGGCAGAATTCTAAGATAACACCACGTCAACCATGCCCCTGTATGATTCCCTATCCTGGAGTATGGGTGGGACCTCTGTATATGATGGGATATCAATCCTGTGAGTAGTTTACTAATCAACTGACTTTGAGTTTATCAAAAAGGACATTATTCTGGGTGTACTTGATCTAATCATATGAACCCTTTAAAAAAGCCATAAAGAATTTGAAACTTTTGCTCTCCTGTAGGCCTCAATGCAGAAGTAAGCTGTTGTGAGTTCCACAGCTGAGAGGAAATAAATTCTGCCACGTGAGCATGCAAGAGGACCAGAGGCCTCAGCTGAGACCACAGCGCCAGCCGGCAACTTGATTACGCCTTAAAAGTCCCTAACCAGAGAACTCAGCTAAGCTGTGCCCAGACTCTTGACCCCTGGAAACTGAGAGATCCTAAATGTGTGTTGTTTTATGCCTCTTTGTGTTATTCATTACACAGCAATGGAAAACAAATGCAGGTCTCTTCAAGGGAAGCCTGATACTCACCTTATCAGGATTACAACAGATTACTTTGCATCCAAAGGCAGACAGGGACACGGAAATGCAGAACTCGAGCACACTTAAAATCAGCACCATACCATCCATAATCTAAGAACAAATTCATAACATGGAAATGTGAGGACTAGCGATGACAAATTCAAAACATTGACCACTGATTACTATACTAAAAGAAAAGAAGCATTGGCCAGAGTTCAGAAAAACTGGCTCCTAATTGTGGCAATCCACTTATCTAGTTCTTAGCCTGCTGAACGTCACTTATCCTCTCACTTTTTTCACTAAGAAAATAATCATTTTTTTCCCCTACCCTCAACTTTCCAGTGCTATGTTGATGCAGAATGTGAAAGTGCTATAAATGGGGGGCAGGGATCATAAAGTTAATTATAACCTTAGTTCTTTCAAAACTAGGAATTTCATATAGATGACACAAGAATATGATCTCATAACATAGTAATTGAAGGCAGAGTAATAACTGTAGACAGAATAACAGATGAAAGAGGTCCAAATCCTAATTCTGAGACACACCTGTGAATATGTCAAGTTACATGGCAAAGGAGAATTAAGTTTGCAGAAGGGATTGACTTTTTAGGTGACCAGGAGACTGAGGGATTATCCTGGATTATCTGATGAGTCCAAAATAATTACAGAACCCTTACAAGCGGAAGCAGGAGTTAGAAATCTCGAGGGAAGCAGATCATTTTAGCAAAGACACTGAAGGGTTATTTTGGTGTGAATATATAGCACTCAAGACTCGCCTGGGTTAGCTAGCAATGAAGAAAAGGTAATGCAATTGATCTGCATAAGAAGTTAGGAAGCATGCTGAGTTTCCAAATTTGGGTGAGGAAAGGAAACAATGAGAGAAAGAACTGAGCAGCACAGTGAAAGGCTGGAAGCTCATGTGGAAGGGAGATAACAGAAAACTGAGTGGTGTGCAGAACGGCTAATAGACTATTTAATAATAAAGATTTCATTGCATTTTAGTCTGCTATGGGTGCAGCAATAACTCTTCCTCCCCACTCTTACCCAAAACTTCAAGAAGTTTAACTACCTACAAAATCTTGCGTAAGTGGTAATTTGTAAAATAAAGCAATTAGGATAATACTTAGAGGAGAGCAAGTAGTATAGAAAAGTAGTAAAGGACAGAATAGAGTTTGAGAACTTGCCAGGAGCTGGACGTTGATGCCCAAAGTGCTTAATCCTGCAAGAACATCCAGCGATGTTGGGAGGGATACTGGGTTAGTCACCATTTGTCAGACAATGTTCGAGACAATTTTACTTTATTATTAGAGAACCAGTAACTGCATCAGGCTCCATCAGGAAGTCCTGGGACATATAGAGACTGACACATGGGCTCTATTTTTGGAGTGGATAGCAGCACAAGCTTACCGGAGTTTTGAAATGAAACAGGAAAAATTATGCAAAATGCTTGGCACACTAATTATTACAGAGTAAGTGTCTTATAACTAGGAGCTTTCTTCCCACTTTCCCTCATCACATTTGGAGAAGGAACAAAGAGAGAGATGAGATGTGGGTCTGACTCCTAAATAAAAGATTGCCCTGATTCTCCATCACTTCTAACTTCCCAAAGTGATTCATCAAATAGGGGATACTGATCGTCACTTTTGCCAACACCAGGGCTCCTGTGGCTTGTTTCCACCACAGTATCCCACAGAAAGAGGAAGCACTAACCATTAACACAGATACAAGCAGGGAACAATTCTCCAACTCCTTAAAATTTATACCCCTATAGTAACTGAATGAAAAAAAAATAATGCTGAACATAGTGATGAAGATCCCTGTTGCAGCAAAGAGAGAGCTGGTGATGTTCACTCCTAGGCTACTTCGGACCTAGAAAAGAAGGAATATAAATTAAACAATCCAACAACATCCTGAGATACATCTTCATCAACCACCTTAGACCCACTACTTCTTGTCCAACCCAGTCCATCTTCTCTATCTTGATTATTGCAATGGTCTCCTAACTTGTCTCTTTCCTCAGAGTAGTTTCAACTCTAATCTGCTGCCCCAGCACAAATATGATCCTGTTATTACCATGCCTAAATCCTTCAGATGACTCCCATGGGCACACGAGATCAACTCTGATCTCCTTAGCAGGGCTTTCGGTACCCTTCACACTTTAGCTGGACAGTCCTGTGTGTGTCCTTCTCCTACCATGTTCTGTTCCAGGTGCCTGACTTCTCATTATTTTCTAAATGCTGCTTGCCTGTCATGCCCCTGTGCCTTTTATTTATTATTTCTGTTTGCTGTGTATTCCTTTTCCTACATTCTCTTCTCTCAGTGAAGTTATGGAGGCTTTTTATAAGAACTAAAATTCCTCAGGAATGTATGAGAGTGTGGCTGTAGCACGAGGTAGACTTTAATCGTTATGTTGACATCTGGAGGAGAGGCCTGGGAGAGACACTGAGGTCAGACTTGGAAAAGCCATACTGATCACCTCCATACTTTGATATTTATCTTTGAGGGAAGAAAACTCAGATGCGGTCTTTAGCTAGGAAAAACATTTGTTGGGATCTGGGTTTTTGCCTTTTATTGGCTTTGGGAAAGACATATTGGCATGAAAGCTTTGTTTTAAATTTGCTTATTCTTATTTAACAGACTTATTCTGAATTTCTTTCGTTGCAAACTGAATCAAAATCCTTTCAGTGTATAATTTTCATCAGTACATATTTTCATCAATAAGTCAATACATATGATGCCACACCCTTTGTGCTATTGTCATGGGGGGTTGGATCTCAAGTTGTAGGGTTTCTATGACCGATCTGTTTGACATTTCTTTTCAGGAATTCTCTGCATTTTCCTAAAGATTATCCGGGCATCTAGCTTCCCAAATGTTCGTTCTCATGTCGGTAATTCTATTATCAGCCAATTTTTTCTTGCAATGTTTGAAAGACTGATCCAACTAGGGAAAACTTACAATCTCTCCTGATTTTTTTTTGCAAACAAACACCGTTTGTTTTCCATTCTTGCAGAATACATACGTGGTTAATCCTGCTTCTTTTGGGACACAACAGCGGAAATATTACTCACCAGGCCCCTTGCAGTGCTGGTTCCTGCTGCAATTGACAAGGACCCTGAAATAAGAAACTAATAACAAGAGAAAAAATACAGGTAAAAAACTTTAAACAAATATTTGAAGTCATAACTTACTAAAACTTATCCCAAAATGTGATAAATATGTTCAACAGACCAATTATATTGGAAGAAATAAAAAAGTTTGTAAATAACTGTCCCCTTTGACCAGAAACAACAGAGAAATTCTACCAGATGGAGTCACAGGAGAATTTATCAAGCCTTTCAGAAATTGTCTAACTGTGATGGTATTTAAAGTGTTTAGGGGATTGCTATATCAAGACAGCTACTCAATTCCTGATATGAAGTAACCCTAATATGGTGCCAAAATTTAATAAGATATTACAAAAGGAAAAATCAAATGATTGTTTTCATTTAATATGACTATTAAATGTTGTAAATAAAATAGTAGCAAAGAAAAATTTTAAATTCTGTGTTAGAGGATGATTAGAATATATTATTCTATTTGACTTCATCCATTGGGTAATTATTTTCCATTTAGCTAAAACTGCTGGAGTGAAGTTGGTAGGATTCCCTTCCTTAAACTATTTAACTGTTTGAGTTTCTGGGTTTGCTTTCCAAATTTGATTTCAGAAGTTTCAAAAAATCTACCTTAATACCAAAAAAGGAATGATCTAATGAAACAGTTTGATAAACTTCTTCAACAACTTTCTAAATACCAAGACACAGAGATGATTAATGTAAACTAAGTCTCCTCTGGAAAGAAACAGCATGGAGAATCATCCATCATGTAATACGAGAGGAATCATGAACATGGGAAGTATTTCTTCAAAGGTCCAGATTTTTTAACACTAAAATATATTACAATCTATGAAATGAATGGATAGAAGGAGAAAACTCGCATGGTAATTGCTGTTCACATTTACAATGTTGGTAAGATATTTAATACAATTCAACATTTTTATTGACTTAAAAGTATTTATAAAGTATGAAGAGTTGCATTTTCATAATACGACAGAACATCTGTCTCAGTGTAAAAGTCGTTCACGTTTAATTGGGAAAACTCTAGGGCTGCCTTGTAAAGTCAAAATCAAGATAAAGGTGTAGACTATTATGTATTACTATTCTTAGTATATTAAGAAAAATGATTATACAAGGAAAATAGCTGAGGTAGATGATGAAAATTGCTGTTATTTAAATCTGAATATGTTATCCTGAAAACATCCAAGATTATCAACTAAACACTACTATAAACTCTGATAAAATTCAGTCAGGCACATAATTATATACAGAAATTATATATACATATTATAAATATGTATGCATTTGTGTGTTTGAAGATAGGATTTAATAAGAGAACTTAAGAGAACTTCATTTACCATAGCAAAAATATATAAAGTTTCTGAGAGAAAAAAACTTAGCAAGGAGTGTGAAAGATATATAGAAATAAAACATTACAACGTTCTAAAAGTACACAGAAGAAAACTTGAATAGACTAATGTGGGGATAATTTTATAGAATTCTGATAAAGAACATATATCTCTGTTGGAGACTAAAGGGCCAAAAATAAGAGAAATTTGTGATTGGTTCTTGGTGGTGGTGTTTCTACTGTATAAGGCACTTCATAGGGGAAGTTTGGAAATAAGGTTGAAAGAATAACTGAGGGTAGCAGCCAAAAATGTTCCACCAATTAAGCAAAGCTCATCTAGTGGGATTCCTATCATAGTCTGAGGGATGCCTCAATTGACAAACAAAACTTCTGCAGTTCTTGATAATCTACTGAACACGTGTAGAAGGTATAAATTATGAAAACTGGTTTTCAAAGTGGTCTTGAAAAGGAAACGAAAGGGGAAGCACAAAACTAGAGTGGTTAGATGCCTGAAATACAGAAATTTGACCCTAATGAGCCCTGATTCCTGTGAAAATAATTCTGTGATCTTGAGCAAGTTACCTAATCTCTCTAAGTCCCATTTTTTTGATCCATAAAATGAGGACAATGATAAATCCTTCCTCATAAGTTTGTGATGATTGTTTGAAATGGAATTGCACATGGTAAGCACTTAGCAGAGGGCCTAGATCATAGTAAGAGCTTAATATGAGTTACTAGTGACATCGGTATGATCATATATATAAAACATTACACAACTGTCCAGAAGGAGAACAGCATTTGCTGTTCTTCAAAGCTTGCACTTTTTTTATAAACAGCTAAGGGGGGCACAAAAAGCCAGCTCATTATAGGCTTTAAACTCTAAACTATGTCATTCTCAACTTTGTAGATCAATGGAAATCTACAACACTTGAATAGGTTCCCTAATTCTAACACAAGCCCAGTTTATAAATATATTTTCCTCTTGTCAGTAGATAAAGCTTAATACTTTATACTCTATTTACAGTCTCATTTTGCAGAGAAACTCTCTTGTATTTTGTTCTGGGGTGAAATTTTTAAACTTTCTTAAAATTTAGTTTAATTTTGATTATATTTATTGATATCAATCTTAAAAGACAAAATTTATCTAGCAGCAGTTGCATTTGCTAAGATTTGATGGTTCACTCTAAATTGCCTGCATACCAGCCAGGTCTATTATTCTTCCTTGCTAACAAAATCCTCATTTTGCTCAGTCTCCCATGAGCTTCAATGAACCCTTCCCAGCCGTAGAGGTGAATCTTGATTAGTCCAAGCCAATAATGGCAAACCCATGACCTTTGCCCATAGTTGGCTCGGGAATATGAAAACATTTATGCATTACAAAACGTTTATGAACCATGAGATGTGCCAAAAAGTCTGATATGGTATGCCAGCAGTCCTCAATGAGGTTACCCCAATGAGGTAACTCCTGAATTAACCAACCCTGGAAATGACTAGATACTGGGCTTCTTCTTGTGAAATAATCAACGCTTTCAATGTTTAATCTATTCTGGTTTGTATTTTTTGCTGCTGTAATATATCTTCCCTGATACACATTAAATATTTAACCTGCCTAGCTTTCTATGAGTTTTATATTATTATTACCACTTTAAACATGAGAAAATTGAGTCAAGTTGTTAGAGAACTTTCTGAAAATTATACAACTACAAGATAGGGTTAGGATATCATGCTGAAGCTCAGGATATTAACAACTATGTTAAGCTGTCTCCAACTATATCAGATGCTATTTTGCTCACCATCAGTGACCCCCAAATTGTGTAACCTGAGTACACTGTTGCAGGATAAACATGAGTTTCACTAACTGACACTGGAACGCAAATCATTATTATTCCCAAGCTGAAGTTCATCCCAGCAATCAGGATCTGCACAGCCTAGAAATGATGAAGAAAGTAAAAATGAATTACTGCTGCAAAAATGGTGCCCAAGCCACCCCCTTTCCAACCACTAGGTTACCCTTATTCACTATCTTTTGAAGTAGTCACATAGTCTTCTTGATATTCTCCTGTAACTTTTCTTTCATATAAAAATTGTGGAACGATTAACTTACTAAAATTACCTCTCGGTATATCTCTCACTTGCCTCAGTAATTTCAAGATCAAAAAGTATGTACCACAACCTACCCAGAGATGCTTTCCTGATACCTATCTATGACACTACTCCTATCACAACTGTTGCTCTACTTTGCACATGCTCAGATAGAAGTGATCCAGAAATTAGGAAGCAAACATTCTAGCAAGGAGAAGTAATCTAAGGAAGGAGAGTATGTACAGGGGAAGACGAAGAGAAGAGCAAAAGAGAAGCCATTTCATGGGGTCTGGGGCCTGAGGACATGAGCGAGTACAGGGGTCTAAAATAGAGAAATTGCAGTACATTACCCCATGGCATTCAAAAGGATCCCAAGTGTCATAATGACTTTGTCCCATTGGTTTAAAGCTTGGGCTAGAGATAAACCTCTATATTCACTGTCCTTCCACCTGCACTACCATGTCTTTCTTTAAACAGTCTTTTTTTCTTTTAGGCACATTGACATGAGACTCCAGGTATAAATGCAGAGAGGATACAAGAAGGCTAATAAATTTCCCCAGAGAGAGATAGTAACAATATGGTGCCATCAGCTGTCAGGAAGGTCTGTTGATGGGACACCAGCTGGTGCATGAGTGGCCTTTTCTTTTGCTACTCTTCCATGCTTAAGTTAAATACAGTTATCATGGATGACCCACAACCCTAGAGTAGATCTGAAGTCACTATGTTTTAAATACAACTAAATCAGAAGCATGATGTAATAGAAAATTGTATCATTTTTCAAATGATAGGGCCTGCACACCAAATACTGATGTTCCTAGGGCTGCTTGATGTATTTTGAAGCTAGTGGGACAAAGCATTTGATGTTAGAGCTGATGCATTGTGATTCTACAAAATGATTGATCTTCTCCCAGATCCGCAACTGACTTACCCCAAGGACTTTGGGTTCCCCCTTGAAAAACTTCTCTGGCATTCCTTTCCATAGATATTCCTTTACAGAAATATAATATCCCGGCTGGTACACACCAGGGCCAGCCCCTGGTGTGGTCTGTTCCATTCCTTGCATGGTTGTCATGGCAGCAGAAAAGACACTACAATAAGAAATGTAATTTAGGAAGCAGTCCTAGAAATGCTAGAACAACCTCTGGTCTACATGCTCTTCCTCTATTATAACAGGTATTAGAACACCTTTGCAAAATATAATTATTCATAGGGCAGCAAGGAAAGCAGAGCAAGGAGAGAAGAGAGTGAGAGAGAGAGAGAGAGAGAGAAATGCCATGTGACATCAAGACGCTAAAAAATATGGAACAGAGAGAAATGTTGATAATATTGTGGTGAATATGCTGGTCCACTAAAATTAGGGAAATGTCTTCAAGTTCACATATCAAGTCTGCACTCATAGTTTATCTCTATCCCTATTACTACATATTCCCTTGATTAAAGCCATTTCCCCATTGAAAGATAACTTTTTAAATAGTAATAACTGCACAGAACCCTCTGCATTCCAATTTACTCCATTTTGTAGTCTTCCTTTTCTAACTGGAGCATAGTGACATTCTCAGAGCTGGAAACCTTCCCCAGGTTCATCTTTACTAAATACAATTTACGTAATCTTGGATTTCATGCTATAAACTCTGGACTTTGGGGATGGAATTTATGATTCCGAGTCACATCCCAGGCGCCAAGAATTTATATCTCTTGTCCCATTAAAATGCTTTAAATTCTGACTTGCCAACATATAGCAAGGGCATTTAAAATTATCTTTCTGACACTTAAAGCACAAACTTTAAAAGTGCTACTTTTATGCCACTTTCTCTCTTCAATATAGTAACCCCAATCAGGTTATGTGGAGATAGGTTTGAGTCACAGGGACATTTGTATCTACTTATGTGAGTCCATATTCAGATGTTGTATGGCTCACTTCCATAATTTTTGAGGGAAGTAAAACTTGTTAAGTCTCTGTAAAGCCACAATCAATTCTGATACCATTGATGCTTCATTGGTGCTCTGAAAAGTCTCAAGATTGGAGCTGTGTGCCCTTTCATTGGTAGCACAAAGTAAAAGAATGTTCTAGTAACACAAATTTTCTGTGTACTGGAAAAGAATTCAGATTTCTCTGGAAATGATTATTAACCTATATTTATATTTCGTGTGCCAATAGAACTACATTATTAGTTACCTAGCAATAAAATTGATGGAAATCAGAAAAAAATGAGTTAATTTTTAAGATAGAGAAAAAAAGTCTGAATGAAATGAAAAGATTAATCATTGAAAATACTAATTTAATTTCAGTTACATATACATTCCAAGTTCTGGAAAGCAGTAAACGAAAAGCACAAGACAGCAAATCATAAAATAAGAAGTAAAAATTAAACAAATGAGAAAGAAAAATATAATTTATAATTCATAAGCAATACATAATGTGAAGGGGATTAAAGTAGCTAAGATCAAAAAGTAAAGAAGAGGATGTAACCAAAAGATCAATATATATATTTTTTTCATTCTAGAAAATTTCCGAAGTCGATATGGAGAAAGAAATTTTAAACTCCATTTTGAAACTGGGAAACAATGAAAATCCCCGTAACTCAGGTGAAATGACTATCAAAATCAACGAAGATTGCATGAGGATGAATTTAGGGGAAATGTAGAGAGAGTATGAAGGACACAGGACACTATGGCCACAGATTTTCAGAGCACACTGCTCAAAGATAAGAGGCTCACGGTGGTATAAAACATATGTTATTGTTTATAATCCAGAGAATGAATGCACCAGTTGATAGCTGTAGCTTCCCTGGACAATTATAGTTCTGACAAGTCAAAGGCAGGAATAAAAGAGAAATCTTCATGTAAGTCTCCAAGCATTTGTGACATAAGTCTCCAAGAAATCCCACAGATTTGGATCATCTGAATATATCATCACAATCACAGATCACCAAATGCATGAAAACCAAGGTACCATGACGTTTACTTATGAGAAACAACCAGTGCTTTAGATATTAGCATAATCTAATACAGAATATGTAATAAATATGGATAAAATATTCAAATAAAAATGGAATCACAAAAGTGTGAAAGTACAGGTAAAGTGGAAAAAAGTGACATGACAAATTTCAAATGTGAAAAAAGATACTGTTGACATTTAAACAAACTTGGTCTTACTGTGAAATAGCAAGGAACAACTGAAAAGAGAATTAGTGAACTGGAAGGTAAATCTGAAGAAATCATCAGAAGCCATATAGAGAGACAAGGAAATGGTCATAATAGAATACAGGTTAAAAGATTAGAAGTAAAGAATTAAAAGTTCTAGAGTATGTATAATTAGAGTATAGAAAGACAAAAAGTATTAAATGGAGGCTAGGCAAAATTGGCAACATTTGGAATGATAACAACTATATATTTTCTTTAACTGATGAAATACTTAAACCCACAGACACAGGTCACATAACATACACCAAACAGTATATTTGAAAAGTCTATATTGAAACACATTTTAGTAAATTTACAAGATACCAAGGAACAAAGATGATCTGCAAATTAGTAGTAAAGAAAAGTCAGAGCACACACAGAATAATGGTGATTATATTGATAGCAATGCAAGCCACAAAACCACAGAAAAGTATTTTTAAAACAATTCAAGACCTAGAATTTTTTATGCACCAAAACTGTACTTCAAGATCAAGAGTAAAATAAAGACATTTTCAGATAAGTATACACATGACACAGTTTTCCAGCACAGACGTTTACTAAATAGAACTTCTAAATGATGTATTTCAAAAGCAAGGCCTACAGTGGGCCTGTCTGGCGGCACAGTGGTTAAGTTTGCGAGCTCTGCTCCAGCATCCCAGGGTTCACAGGTTCCAATCCTAGGCACAGACCCACGCATCGCTTATCAAACCATGCTGTGGCAGGCGTCCCACATATAAAGTAGTGGAAGATGGGCATGGATGTTAGCCCAGGGTCAGTCTTCCTCAGCATAAAGGGGAAGATTGGCAGCAGAAGTTAGCTGAGGGCTAATCTTCCTCACCAAAAAAAGAAAACAAAAAACCAACTAAGGTATATAAAACCCAGGGGGATGTTCCATGGTACAAGAAGGAATGATGAGCAGAGAAACTGGTAAACATGCGCGTACACACATTGTTTGCACAAATAGGAACAACAATATATAATTTATTAAGTTAGACATGAGGGCAAAATATAAAATACTAGATCATAAGAAAGCAAAATTTGGGCTTGGAATGATGAGAATTGGTCTTCTAATGTCCTTGTGCTCTTTCGGAGATGGGTGAAGAGAGTAACTTTAGATTTCGAGTTAAGAATGAAAAAAATCAAGAGTTACCAATAAAGATAAGAAGTGAGTTGTGTAATTTTTCAGATAAGAGAAGAAAATGTTATGAGAAAACAAATATATGACAATTAAAATAATACATGTAATCCATCAACTAAAAAGGCAGGAAAGGAGATAAAATGAGCAGAAAAATAAGTGAGACAGACAGAAAGCAATAACACGGCAGAAGGAAAAGCACCTCCAGAATTGCCGAGTGAGGGCATTGAGAATCTTCTCCTCTTTAGAAGCAATGAGAACACTGGAAACATTGTCAAAATCAACTTTTTCAGAACTCTGGACATTAACCAAGAACTTGCAAAATCCCCGGAGCATTTATTCAAGAAAATGGCTAAATTTCAGTAAGAATATTGAGCACTGTCATTTTTTTTGTGGTAAAATGTTCACAGCCTGCAATTTACCATTTCGACCATGTTTAAGTGTGTAGTTCCATAGCTTTAAGGACATTTACATTGTTCTGCAAACATTACTGCCTCCATCTCCAAAACTTTTTCAACTTCCTCAGCTAACACCGTACCCATTAAATCCTAACTCCACATGTCCATCTCCCCCCAGCCCTTGGCAACCACCATTCTCCTTTCTGTCTCTATGAATTTAACTACCCTAGGAACCTCGTATAAGCGGAATTATACAACATTTGTTCTTTTGCTTCTGCCTTATTTCACTTAACAAAATGTCTTCCAAGTTCACCCATGTTGTAGCCATGTTTCAAAATTTCTTTTCTTTTTTAAGGCTGAAAAATATTCCATTGCATGTATAAACGACATTTTGTTTATCCAGTCATCAGCCAATGGACACTTAGGTTGCATCCACCTTTGACTATTGTAAATAATCTTGCTATGTATATGGTATACAATTATCAGTTCTAGTCTGTTCTTTTACTTTTTTAGGATATATATCTAGAAGTGGAATTGTTGAATCACATTACCATATGGTAATAATAAGATTAACTTATTGAGAAATCACCATACTGTTTTCCACAGTGGTAGCACTATTTTACATTCCCACCAGCAATTCACAAGGGTTTCCATTTCTCCATCTCCTTGTGAAACTTAGTGTCTGCGTGTATTTTTTTTGATAATAGTCTTCCTAATGGGTGTGAAGTGGTATCTTATTGTGGCTTTGATTTGTAGTTTCCTATTGACTAGCGATGTTGAGCATCTTTTCCTGTGATTATTGGCCATTTGTATATCTTCTTTGTAGAAATGTCTGTTCAAGTATTTTGCCCATTTTTGAATCAGGTTTTTTGTTTTATTGTTGTTGAGTTCTTTATATATTCTGGATGTCAATTCCTTATCAGATATATGATTTGCAAATATTTTCTCCATTCCATGAGTTGCCTTTTCACTCTGTCGATGGTCTCTGTTTATGAGCAAAACTTTTTAATTTTGATGAAATCCAACTTACCTATTTTTTGTTGTTGTTGCCTGTGCTTTTGGTGTCATATCCAAGGAATCATCGCCAAATTTAGTGTCATGAAAATTTCAATCTATGCTTTTTTCTGAGGGTTTTATAATTTAGCTCTTATAATTGGATCTTTGATGTATTATGAATTAATTTTTTTATGTATATTGTGTAAGGTAAGTGTCTGACTTCATTTTTTTGGCTTACAGATATCCAGTTTTCCCAACACTATTTGTTGAAAAGACTGTTCTTTCCTCCTTTAAGGATCTTGGCACCCTTGTTGAATATCATTTGACCATATAGGTGAGGGTTTATTTCCGGGCTATTTCATTCCACTGACCTATA